TGATGGCAGGTATGGTACAGAACAGAGAATACCAAGTACCACAGAAGAAGCAAATGAAAGTCAGTACAATGGAGAGTGTCAAGTAATAGTCTCCAGCAGGACGAACCACTGTTGTAGCAACCACAGGACTAGGCTGTGAGCTAACAACTACAACATTTGATGACTATGAAAAGACAATATGTTGACGGGCAAGTGCTGATCTATTTAATTAACCTGGTGACTCTGTGGGTAAGGTTGCTGCTGTGGATAATACTGCTGCTGTTGGGGAGGATAGTACTGCTGTTGGGGTGGCTGTTGGTTCCCGTAATATGGAGGAGGAACATCACCTTTTTGATCCTGCTGTGGAGGGTAGGCTTGTTGTGGAGGGTAGCCTTGTTGTGGTGGATATCCTTGAGGAGGATAAGCCTATAATGACAAATTTACACTTCAATAATGACAGGATTCATGGTATTACTAACAGCTTGCTCCATCGTTTCTGGTTGCTTTTAGTACAAGAGAGAAAGAGAAAGAAAGGTTGCTCTGTTTTGCAAAAGTGAGATACGCCCAGAATGCAACTCATGAATATGATTATTATCTTGGGTGTTGGCTGGGAAGCAAAAGAAATTCAAGCATGCATGATACATGAATAATTTTGATTGTCATTCATAGATAATAATAATTACTCTAGACAACACATTTCACTACTCTACAATTATAATGCATCTACTATATAGACTATATTGTGCCAACTTTCATTAGGAAGTGAACAGCTATAGTATACTACATGATAGATCTATCAGGCAGGCCCGCCTGTAGTACTAGTAGCAACTGGCCTCAGTGACAGTTTAAAGGACAATAGAAGCTGCAACTGTAGTGAAGCTAGTATGGGTAATGATGACCTGCTAGAGCAAGTTAAGACAAGTGCTCATCAGTCAACTAGCTATGGATCTATTCCTCATACTAAGGATAGTTCATCATTGTGTGAGTACATTACTGATCCTAGCCACTGGCCTTTTCACGGTATTTCTCTGTTAATGGTTTCATTTATTTATTTCTCTTCTTACGTTTGTGTTGAGAGTCAGGGTGGCCTTGAGGTTCCAATCATTAAAGTAATGAACATTGACACCACAAGGTACAGTTTGCTGCTGGTTGCCTTCAGCTCTCCTAATGTTCTATTCTGTCTTGTTGGTGGGGTAATAGTTGATAGAGCATTAGGACATAAACTTAGTTTAATTTTAGTTGTAGCAATGACTGGAGTGGGTCAGTTTTTAATGGGGTTGGGTGCATTCCTTGATCACTTCTGGTTAATGATTGTTGGTAGAATGTTCATTGGAGTTGGCAATGAAATGACTGATGTGGTTTCTGTTGCTCTTGCTTCAAAGAAACAAAATGCTACATTCCGAATGTCTCTATACTACACAGCTGCTAAACTCGGGGGATCCAGTTCACTTGCAGTTTCTCAGTATATTTATGAGCAACTGAGATTCATTGAAAACCCAAGCTATCGTCTGGGAAGCACACTGCTTGTTGGAGTAATGCTAATGATGATGGCTTTTGTAATTTCTATAATACTCTTCTTTTTGGACATGAAAGAAGAGAAAGTGATCAAAAGAGAGAGACAGAAGATCTCAATGATACGCTGGAATGAAATTAAAAACTTTCCAATGTCATTTTGGATCTGTGTAGCAGAAGTTAGTATATTTTGTGGAGGAGTGATAGTCTTTACAGCAATAGGACAGGATTTCTATACAAAGAAGTACAGTCTGACTCCATTTGAATCAGGAGCAGCAAACTCTCTTGTCTTCTTAGCTACTATAGCTGTAGCTCCAATCATAGGGTGCCTCATAAACAGGCTTGGTAGGCACTCATTCTGTTCTGTAGTAGGCATGCTGGCTGCACTCTCTGCTCATCTCACTATACTCTGTAGCTCCAATTCATTCTACATCCCCTACTTGGCCAGCACTGTCTATTCTGTATCATATGCACTTATAATGCCTTCACTGTACACCATACCTTGTCTACTTATTCAACCAAATAAAATGGCAACTGCTTATGGTTTCATTCACAGCGGAATCAATCTGTATGTTGCTGTCATGTCAGTAATATCAGGTATACTCATCGATAAATCTGGATACTTCCTGTTAGAGACTGTATTCTCACTCTTTATGTATTTTAATATCATAGTGTCAATCATTCTGTCATTTTATTTGACAAAAAGAGTTTAATGTACACGATTGATCAATTACACATTATCTTCCCTAGTGCATGATACAATGAATAAAGTCATTACCCGAACAAATTCACCAAACGAAAACAGATCTTCTCTAATAT